GAAAGCTTTGCAGCCTTTAATCTTATACTGTCCCATATTTTGAATGGACAAATCTTTACATGAACATGCTTAAATATTGTTAAATTAAAATTGTTGTAAGTTGTTTTGTAACTAGATTGTAACCCACATTAAACAAAAAAAAACTTTAAAAAGCATAATAGTGCTATGTCAAATCACTAAATGCTTGTACTCTCTTTTTACACGGTAGATGCGTTCCTTAGAAAACCGTGTAAAAAAATACATGTGTAAACTTGGGGATATGTTCCACAACTAATATTTTTCCATAAAATCGTGTATTAAAATTTATAAAATAAATCTATATGAATTAAAAAAAAATTATTTTGTTACAAAAGTAAAATATATTGTATCAAACTTTAATATCAAATTGACAACGAACAGGCTTAAAAATACTATCATCAGTATTAATAGTAACTGTTTTTTAAGTTGTTTACACAATTCTTCATATCCAGCTATACAACAGTTAAGATTGCGTGTAAATTGTAATGCACGCTCCATGTCAGGATCATAAGTTAGAAAATATTGCTCCATACTTTTTGCAAATTTCAAGCCCTCAGGAATTAAATTAGCCGTTAATTCCTGATCTTTACCTTCTACTTCATCATAATCGACTTCTTTACTGTCATCAATTGTCATAAATTCAATTAAATCATCTTCATGTAAAGGAGTTTGTCGCATCAATTCATTTATATCAGACACTTGCATGTTGCTAAACCCTTCGCCACCAATTGCATTTGATAGAGGTATAATTTCAGAACACACAGCTGATTGTTCTACAAAGCTTTCACTTTTGGTGCATGATGGCAATCGAAGTGCAACGAAATAAAAAAAACTAATATTAAAATTCGGATATTCCCCGAATTTTATTTTGTTGCTGTATACATAAGTATACAACAAGACATAAAAAAAAATTACAATTAAAAAAAATGTTGTGGGAATTCGTGCAAAATCAAAAAATTCGTGTAAAAGAAGTATTTTGTGTTTAATTTTCAACCGTGTTATTTCAAAATCGTGTAAAAAAGAACCGTGTGAAAAGAGAGTTGGGTGTACATATGTTATATAGAGAATATATTTTACTGCAAACTTATGTCTTCAGTAGCTATTCGGCCTGAAAATGTATTGTTAATATAATAGTAATGCAAACAAAACTCTGTAACGCTATATACTTCTCAAAAGGTTTATTTAAAAAAAAACATAAATTTATTATATTAAATAATTATTTATGCAGAAATCGATGATCTATAATGTTAATTGAACTCTATGAAAAAGGAAAACAGTTCCACACTTGAATAACCTTATACATATCTATAAAAATGATTTATATATTTATATACTTTTTATATATGAATATACTTTTTTCGTTCTTAGTATAGCACATACGCTGATAAATGAGAGACTGTTCCACATATTCAATATACATACATACAGTCAGGGACAAAAGTTTAAATACACCCTTAAAATTCAGGCTTTAAAGAAAAATAAACATGTCACTAAAATTTTAAGTATGAAGTTTTATTTCATTTCATAAATTATTAAAAATAATAACAAAAAATATTTACTTTATTGCTAGCATAACGGTTAATTTAATGAAAAATGATGCGGACAGAAGTTTAAATACACATGCAAAAAGTGTTTATAATGCAAAGAAATTGACAAATTTTTAGCGAAATATAATATTTAAATACTTTGTTGGGCCGCTATGACTTTCTATGACTGCTTGCAGACGATGTGGCATAGAAAGGACTAAATTTTCCGTTTGTGACGCCGTCAGTTCAGACCAGGCTTTCCTGAGAGCCCGTTTTAGTGAATTCTTGGTCCTTGTTGCTGCATTTTTCGATTTACGTTTTATTAACTCTTTAACATGCTCAATAGGATAATTATTTTCTGTTTTTTTTTAATAATATATGGAATGCAATAAAACTATATACTTATAATTTTAGTGAAATGTTAATTTTTCTTTAAACTCTGAACTTAATGGTTATTTTGTCCCTGACTGTATGTATGTAGCTCAAAAGGTATGTTTAACATGCAGCAAAACCCAAATAGTAAGCAAACATTTTTTAATCGGAGAAGTTCCTTATATTTATATACGATGTCTGTACTAAAATACTAGTCATAATCTTAAGAATGTTAAGTTGTTTTTTTTAGCATGAATATGATATATAAGCAAAAAAATTAGGTTTAACTTTACTGTATAATAGCTTAAACGCTCTTAATTCAAAGAGAGCTGTTAAGACGAGTCTACAGTAAAGATTTTTAATTTTAAATTCGTGCCAGAAGTCTGCATATTTTTTATAAATGATAAATTTTTTCTTAAATTAATTTCAAGAACGTTTATCTGAATTATTAACTTGTGTATAACAGCTACATAAAATTTTAATCGATCTCCTCTATTATTAAACAAAATGAAATATAATCAATAATATTTCGATACTAAATTTAGGAAGAAAACATTGAAAAATATATGACAGCTATATTCAATATATAACAATTAAATTTTGTTTTTAGTGGTTATATACAATATAAGTTATATTATGGGTTTGGCAAACACATTAAGCTTTAACTAAATATCTTTATACATATATAATGGAGATTGATTTCTATTGCAGTTATGAAATACAGTCAATCAATTTTGATTATTTCACTATATGTTGGATGAACTTTAAATAAATCTGTTTCCAAAGTTTCATTCGTATATTACTTTTATCGGCTAACATACACACTAAGATCTTTAGATTGATTTGGGTATTTATACTTTATATGATCTTTTAGAAATACATTTCTAAGTTTTTTGCTTTGTTTACATACAAGTGGAAAATTACAGACACAGCTTACTGATTCGAGTTTTATCAAAATTATATTTGCTCTAAAAAAGAGTAAATACATCCGAAAAATTTTTATCTACTTTGAGGTAACATTTAAGATGGCATTGACTGACATCTTGTAGTCAAAAACATAGTACAAAAAAAATTGAATATTATACTTCTAAATTGGATTATGGATTCTAAACCAACACAAAATAAAAAAATAAAACTATTTTGTTTAACACGATATAAAACATGTGGGACATGTACGATTCAATTTTGCGATACGTTCTCCGAGCTCAATTTTAGACAAAGTAGATAGACTAACATACAGTCAAAAACTGACTATATGTAGAAAAACTTTGTTAAGTAAAATTAATACACATACTGTACTACTCGCGTCAGACTCCAGCATTGACATCGCTAGAAGTAGACTTCAAAAGAATCTGAACCCAGTTTCTGAATGGGGTTTAAAAGTCAATACAGATAAAACCACACAAGTGACGTATACTAACAGAAAATTTGTGGATAAGCAGTAGCTTCTACATGATTCACCAATACAACAAGTACCAATGCCAAATATCTTGGAATAACAATAGACTAATAACTTACATGAAAACATCACATTATCCAAAAAAGAAATAACATAAAACAAAAGTTTGGCCAGATATATTGAATGCTAGTACCTAAATAAAATGATAATTATGCCATTATTTCGTTATGGCATCGAACTTTGGAGTACTGCCTCCAAATCCTATACTCAAATTATTTAAAGACAACAATCAAAAATATTAAGGACCATCGTCAATGCTGATTGGTATATACCAAATAACGAAATTCATAAAGACTTAGATATTGAACCTATTTAATGTAAAAACTAAATTCGAAGTATGTAAAACTTTTAGTAATAACTCTATCGTTACGAAAATCAAGCTCTTACGTTTACAAACGAGCTTTCTAATAGAATTTAGAGAGTTATAGTTTGACTAGTGTCCATCAAATACCTATAGAAAAATACTGGATGCTTAATTTTTTTATCAGCACACCAAACATGTAATTGTCAGAGACATCTGTTCCACTAGAAGTTGATGGAAAAAATCTTTTAAAATATATGATAATGTTGTTTTTCGATGCCCATATATTGATAAATAAAATACAATTATTAGAAAACATCGCAATACCCTTTGTTTAACCCAAAATATTCATGTTGAGAATTTACTTCAACAACTGAAGAAGTATTTATATTGCAACATCGTGTAGATAATAATATTATTAAGCATCTCTTAAGGTGTAAAGAACAGTACACGAAAAATTACAATTGTTTACAATTTAATAAAATAAATGTTAGTACGTATTATAATTTGCAACAAAACATTTATGTATTTTACTATATTACACATGTCGCTTAAATATTAAATTAATTAAAAAATAAAAAATATGAATAAATACAAAATAAAATCATTAAAAAAAAGCAAAAAGTTATTAGACAAAAAAATAAATTTTATTAGAAAAATAAAACAATGTTAAATACTGCTTATATACCATTAACTAGTGATGTTAGACGTTTAAAAATTATATAAACGAATATATTCACGATCTCATATTGCCTATATATATATATATCTATGTACAAAACTCTTTTATAAAATTCAATCGGAAATTGACTTGATTTTTTTTTTACGTGTTATATGTTTACTGGTTTAGGAAGTGATGCCAAGTTATTCTTAAGCACCAAAAGTTGTTCTATTGGAGCATTCATGTCAAAAGAATGACATATTATAAGATTTTTAATATTTCTTATAGATTATATACTTAAAATTATTTTCAAAATTATTTTAAAGTTGGTTTTGTTATTTTTATTTTTTTAAGAACACATTAACTTTTATTTCGAGCGTTAATTTTTTGTAAATTTCTATACGTATATTTCTATACAAAAGCGAATTTGCCGAAATACATATACAAAAATATTCTTAAAAAAATAAAATAAACAAAACTGACTATATTTTATTATATTTTGAAGGGCTTTATTATATTATGTTTCAATTTGTATATTACAATTTACATGTTTGTCTTTAAAATATAAATAAAAAACAAAAAATGTAGTAAGATATAAAAGATATTTATTTAATTTTAAATTAATTAAATTGTATATCAATATATTGTAGCAATGATACTTACAAATAGTTTAAATCCAACGACGTTGCAGAGATTTCTGTTGAATTCGCTCTTCAAATTATATTTCTTCACTTTTTAAATAATTGTTACTATTATTTATATTATTAAGTAGATATATTTTTAAAGTAAATATTTTAGTGAAAAAATATATAGATTAAATTGATTTCAGTTACTTGTTGGTTTTTATGTTATATATGTAGTATAGTTTTTATTTTACATAAAATTATAGAATCACAGATAAATATTTAAAAGTTTATAACTATTTTTTTAAGGTAATTAAAAATTTTTGTTTTCAAATTTTTGATATCGTTTTTAAATTAGATTTCTTTTAGAATTTTTAGTTTTTGTAATTATTTAAAGAAATAATTCATAATTATGCTTAATTTGTAGCTTTCAAATTTTGGGTAGACCAGGCCTTTTTGTAACGTATGTGCTTTGCTGGAGATGACGGGACGGGCTGACTCACTGTATTCAAAATATTTTATAAAATGATATAATTGAAGTTTATAAAATTTAATTCTAAAAATATAGTCAGAAGATATAAGATATATTTTATGATTTTTAATTTTAAACGTAATTAAGTGTCTCTTTGATTTTGGCCCTTTTTAATATTTACTTTGTTTATTTTTTAACACTCACTGATAAACATGCTCCTTTTTAAAACATTAAACGCGAGTTCATCTTTATGATAGTGTGTGCGTGCGTGTGTGCATATGCAAAACTGTGTGAGACTGATGATACCCCCCGAAACACCTCCAATGGCCTGAACCCAAAAATGATTCAAAAATAAAATTATAACACACAAATAATGTTTGGGATGAAATAAGCGTGATTTCGATATGCTACAATATATATCCGATATCCGTTCAGTCTTATTACTCGTTGCGCTTAGTACTTGAGTACCTTGAATTTAATTCGCAGTCAGTAACGACACTGGTAGTTAATCGGGGCTGGCAACCAACCGGTCGGCTGGTAGTGCCAATCAGCCTATGTACTAAGAAGCAACAAGATTACACTTTTTAATTGTAGATCCTTTTTAAAGAAATTACAATTACAATTACAATTACAATTATAATTACAAATACAACAATAACTGTCTTTTATCTTCTTTAAATTCAAATTAGGATTAAATTTTTATATTAATCTTAATATTCAATGTAAAATTATAATTTTCACTTTATATGCAAAAATTTTGGCAAGTGTAAACCATGACACTTATAATAACAACGTTTTTTAAGAGTTCCACTGATTTCACTGTTTCAGATTTTATTGAATGAAGTACGTGTGCTTGTGTGCCTGTATGCCAAGCAATGCGGCATATGTATGTCTTTTTATCCTTTTCGGTTAGCTTGTCGTTCTTTTTGTTTGCTTAAATTCTTATTTTCTTTAGGGCACGGATTTTTTATTAATTGCAACACCGTATTTTAATAATAAAATTTTTAATATCTGTAAATTTTCATAATATAACGTTATTTAATAATTCAAGCAAAATGCTGTTTGGACAGTTCAACTGATCGCCCGTATACGCCGGAAAGCTGCCGCTGACTAAGCTCAGGCTTTTTCTCTATTTCTCGCTAAATTGTTTAGCGATTTTTAATACTATATAATTTGTATAATATTTTTGGTTTATTTTTAATATTTGAAATATTCTTATGTTAAAAATGAACGAAATTTTGTTGATTTTATAAAATTTTCTTTTTCAATAAAAATTCTTTAGGTGTGTTTATTCCGTTTACCGAATACTTCGTTGCTTTTATGGAACTGACTGGCGACGGACTGATTGTTTGCTAAGGAGCAGATGGTAATATAAGGTCCGTGTTTCATAGTTTTCTGCAATCACATTTGTTGTTATTGCTGTGTTGCTGTTATTCTCGTTGACGTATTGTTGCTGTTCTGTCGCTGAGTGTGTTTGTTATTCCTTTTTTGTTACGCTGCGACGCTTTTGTTGGGTTGTTGTACTACGTCATCTTGTGGTTGTTATTGTTTTTGTTGTTGTTATTTTTCGTTTTGGTTTTAGTTTTTGAATAAAGGGAGGAAAGGGTGCAATGTTTTGTATATACGATTCGCAATTTTGCAGACTATATTCTGGTGTTGTGTTGATGTTAAAATACGTTTGTACCGAGGCTACTACGTTTTTTTTGCACAGTGTATCACGTCACGAAATTTTTGACTTTAATTTCGTTATATTTTTATAGATATTTAACTATGCCTTTTTAGTTGATTGATTAAATAGAATATGTTATAGCATAACTATTTCAATAATCTTTTAATTAATATGATGATATAATAATTTATAAATTCCTTTTTATATATGATATATAAATATATTTATAAATTATATACATTTTTAGAGAAATTGGTATCCTATACATACATCAATACAATAGTTAAAGAATCTTTTAATAATAAATGTTTGAAATTAATTTAATTTAATTAATTAATTTTGATGTGATACATCCAAGTTTGGATTGACTTATTAGATTAAATTAATATACAACTTTTTTTCGTAATAAATATACTATAACTAAATTCATTTCAATTTATTATAATAAACGAAACGTATATATTTAGTACACCCAAACTAACTAAAACAAATTTTCAAAGTTACTAAAAATTATTAGTCACTTAATATAATATATAAAGAATATCCTACAGCACCGGTTTCAAAATACCAATATTGCACAAATAAAATATAACTGAAAATAATGTTGTATATGCATATAACTTATTAATTATAATTTTATATGTCACAGATTGCATATATAGTTTGTTTAATCAGAATAATGGGTTTATAGTTTTCGCGGTAAAATTGTAAAATTGAAATACTACAAAGCTGATTTTATTTTTACTTTATCTTACATAAGAGGAAGAAAAAAACAGAAACAAAGTTGGTTTTTTATTTTTATAAATATTTCCTTATTATTTTTAATTAATAAGTCATACTTATTATTTTATTCTGAATTAATATTTTTTATTTATAAATTATGTTGTAATTTTATAAAAACAAACAAAGCTTTATCACTTTAGCAAGTTACCGAACACGCTTGAAGAATTCCATTATAGTAAAACTATTTTCAAGAAAATTTTTCTGTCTTCTCTTTTTCCTATCTTGAGGACTATAATTTAAATTGTGTGTAATACATTAAATTCAACCATTCTGCTTATAAGTATTTCTTAATTAATTATATTTCAAAAGTACCCACTGTACGCACAATTTTTCTATAAATTCTTAGCGCAAGAGCGTGTTTGCATAAAAATTACCCCAAGCAAACTTAAATAAAATTTGTGTAAGATATTAATATTTTTCGGCCACACTGGCGCTTCTTGCAGACAATTTATTTTTATTTTTCTGCACGTTTTCGTGCTCATAGTCGCTTGCAATTATTTTGCAGGTCTCGTGCATGCTTGTTTCTCTCTCAAAACTTCGTGCATGTAGCGTTTGTCATAAATAGCCTAGCCGTACAGCATCAGCCCACGTAAAGAGCGAGCAGGATATTTTGCGGTACTTTCATCTTTTGCAGTATTTTCATTTGCATTAAGAAAATGCAGCTGTTTTATCCTTGACACACGAAACCATTGTAAACATTGCAAATATACATATGTAGGTAGTTTTTACAAGAGCGAATAATGGTTTTTTAAGGTTATAGAATGTGTTCTGCACATTCACGATCATTTAAATTGCGTAACTTAAGAAATACATATGCATATAAACTTTGTTATGCACACATTTTAATTTAATAAATACATTTAACAAAATATGATAAATCTGCATAAATAATAAAGCATAAAGTTAATAATAATATTGCCGTCATACTTTAATGGTTTTTCGTTTTCAAACCGCCAAAAGTTTAAAATTATCCGCATAGACAAGATCCTTTGCATTACTCTACAAAAAAGACCAGCTATGAAAAATCGCATATGATTGGTAGGCAGTATTTAACAATCAAATCGAAAAATTACGCATCCGTAAAATCTCGTCAAGTGGCTTGTGTCATCATCCTGTTAAAAGCACTTATCTAATTAATGAAAACAATCAGATAAATAAAATAATTCAATAGTAATTCTGGTTGTCGGATTTTTTTATGGAAATGAATTGTTATATTAACTTGAGTTTGTAATAATATTAGTAAAATGAACCGAATGAGCAAAATTACTTTTGCTGGCTATAGGCTATAAGCCGGAAATTGAATAACTTCCGCTTATGTCGTGGCAAATCGATGTTTGAATTTATCAGTTGCTTAGCCTATTATGATACTTGTCCGCACCATAATATTATCAATGTTTCGGGACTTAAGTATTAGTTTTGATAGTAACTCGAAAAAAATTTTTTTCTACATTTGATTATCTTGCTGATTACTAGCTCTTCTAAAGACTTGCTTTATATCTAATAGAATGCTTTCAATTACAAATTAATACATTTATATACATATATATATGTACATATTGCTACTTCATTTTAAAAAACCTTCACAGAAAGGTCAGTTAACCGATATAAAACTGCATAGAATAAAAATTTTCTTACTAGATTTCATTGAGCATATGTACATACGTGTATATGTTTTTTTTCGATTACTGTAGTTTATATTTCTTAGAAAATCTAAGTTAATAATTATTAAATATTATTATGTCTATTAAGAGTTACATTTATTATATTGGTATTATACGATCAAGAAATCATTTTTAAGCAATTTCATACAATATGTAACATTATATATGTACATACATACCTTTACTTACCTTTACATTGTCTACTATTTCCATTGCGCTTCTACTCGTTTTTGCGCACACATGAAGCAACCCGCGTATAATATACCTATGTATGTAAGGTGATGTTTTGTCTTACAGCGGGTGCAGATTTGTACATGCGCAAGACGTCAAGGGTTGTTTCTTTTAGCTTAATTGTATAAACACACACACAGATTTAATTGCATGTTTGTTGCTTTTGCAACTCTCTGTGCTCTTTTCGTGCATTGCAGATTTGTAATGAAACAAAACACGTGCCACAAATTGCCATTTTCAGCATATGAATTTGTTGTTTACTTCGCATTGTCTCGTTTCTCTCACACTTTGCATTCTCTTTTTGCGCTTCTACTATTGTTTCTGAGACTGCGAGTACAACT